AAAAACATTCATGGTAGTTGGATCTAGACAGAGAATAAAAACACTAAATAATGAAATAGATATTGAGATAAACGGTAATATGGTCAACCAAGTTACTTCGGTAAAATCTCTGGGTGTCCATCTTGATAATCACCTTATGTGGTCTGAGCATACTGACAAACTATGTAAAAAAATTGCTTCAGCCATAGGGGCTTTAAAACGTATAAGATCCTGCATTTCAACGAACACGGCTATCCATGCAAGTATACCAAGCACTGATTCAACCCATTTTGACTACTGCTGCTCGGTCTGGGATGGTCTTGGCGAAACGCTAAGTTCTAAACTACAAAAATTACAGAACCGGGCGGTCAGGGTCATTACGAGGTCCAGCTATGACACTAATGCTACTGTGCTTCTTGATACTTTACACTTGGATAACTTATCGTTGAGACGCAATAAACTTAAAGCTGGCTTGATCTTCAAAACACTCAAAGGTGACACACCTACCTATCTACAAAATCTTTTTTCAGTTCGTGGCTCAGAATATAATCTTAGGAACTTTGAAATGAAATTAAATCTACCCAAGCCACGAACTAATTATCTGAAGCGAAGCTTTCAGTACAGTGGAGCAGTGCTGTGGAATAGCCTTCCCGAAAATATAAGGATGCTCCAATCGTTTGCTCAGTTCCGGAAAGCTGTAAACAAGTATTATAATAGTTTAGATGAACTCCCACACGGCAATCTTGTAAACCAGTAGATCATATTCTTTTATTTATTTTTGCATGCTTAAACTTGTAGCTATATATTTATATACTGAAGATTCCACCGTGGATAAATAAATTTTTATTGTATTGCATTGTATTGTATTGTATTGTATTGTATTGTATTGTATTGTATTGTATTGTATTGTATTGTATTGTATTGTATTGTATTGTATTGTATTGTATTGTATTGTATTGTATTGTATTGTATTGTATTCTTTTGGGCAAATAAGAAGAATTGATTTACCAGGAGAAATTGCGAAAAAATATAGGGCAAGTTTGCTTTCAATGTTCAATGTCTATGAATTTTGTTGCTTTATTTTTTGCGTAAAACATACACTTTCCTTAATATAGTTGTAAGTTTCCTAAATTACCCTATTTAGTTTAAGAAAAAAACTTAAAATGTAAAAGAGAGCAAATTAATTTCATCAAATTAAATAGGTAAGATAACACGGTATACACATCATGGTCACATTCGCTTGCGACTCTTCGCCACGATGTTGAGCTGAGTTCGTCGGATTATTATTCATCGTTGTTCTCTGTTCTTCTTTCCAAAACTGTTCGTTGCGTGTACGAAACATCTGGCAACACTTCAAACATTGCGTTGCTTTTAAAACAAAGCGACTTTCGTAGACAATTCCCGCAATTGATTCATTTACATTTCTGTATAAGTTTATAGCTGATGTACAACATTTAATAACGTTCGCGTTTGAACAATAATTACTTGTAGGCAAATAAGGAGTGCATTACTGAAATTAAAGACGAGTGGACACAAACTTTAGCTGACGCCGGTATATTTAACAATTTAATAGACAACGAAGCCGAGTTGTCTATGAGCGAATAGTCAAGAGGCGAAGCCGAGTTGACTATTCGCTCAGAGACAACGAAACTGAGTTGTCTAATTGTTTTAGTATAAACCACATAAAGAAAACGGATTTTTTCACTTGATTTTTATGTAAAATAATAACTTTTTTTACGAAATGAGAGTTTAAATGGCTTCCTTTGCCTTTGGCCTGACATTACGCCACGGCCTTGTTGACAACTACTCAGTGTTGCGAACTCTCAAGAATATGACTTGAAAAATACAACTTGTGAGTTTTAAAAAAGTTAAAAAACATGTCGTAAAACAGTATAATAGTAAGAGATCGTTATAGAAGCAAAATTTGGTTAATTAAAACGTATTTAAAAGAAGGAAACAAGGCTTAAAAAGTCTAAGTTCGAACACAAAATGGCTTCCCAATTTTTACTAAATAAAGGAAGCCTCACATACCGATTTTTTCCACGAGAAACGTCATATGTTCGTTTGGGGGTGGGGGGGTGGGGGGTTGGCAGCTGTGACGTTTCTCTGTAAACATCATGGAAAAATCGATAGTTTTTATCTTTGCAGAGTATAAAAAAGAAAACAATTTGATACAAACAGCAGTCTATATATTCGTAATACCGTTTATATTATTACGCCTTCTTTGCATTTGAAAACACTCAAATTTCAAGAAATACGCGCTAAAATGATCAATATTTCATTCAAAAAAATGTTGGTTTGAGAAACGTTGGAAATTTTGAAGTTCACATATATATTAATAAAAAAAGAGTATGTCAGCAGAAGATGACATATTCTTCGCGGAAGCATCGCAATAGCCGACCGAAAAAAATAGTAGAAAATTACCTTATGTGTACTATAAGAACAAAATATCGATAACTATGTGTGACGTTTCTAAGGGGGGTGGGGGGGGGGTCTCCAGAGAAACGAACATATGACGTTCTTCATGGACAAAATCGATAGCTTCCCTAAGTAAATAAAGTTTATGTTAAAAATCCGAATAAAAATGCACACACATGCAAAAGATCCGATTATCCGAATGTTGTTAAAATCTTTAAAATATCTGGAACATAAAGAGGAAACCATTTCCATAATCTAATATACATATACATTATAGTTTAGATTAAAATTTAATCGAAAAACTCGACTTACAAAGGCTCGAAAGACGAAAATGCGAAAAACGAACTCGGCCAAAATCTCAACATTTAAACGAAAAAACTCTTTAAATTGACAGCTAAATACACGAACTCGTACTTAAAACAAGCACACACTAAAGAGGTTGAGAAAATAGGGGTAAATAGCTACAAAGTATTGTTGAATTTCAACGATTCTGCTTGGCCTTGGAATATTAACAAACATTAATTGTGCATACTTTTTAGAAAATCGCCTGTCACTTTCATGAATCATGCTCAAAACAACGAGCAAAGTTGAGAAAACTTAAAAATTTTACCGCATCTGTCAGCAGTTTCCAAGAGTCTTTGTTTGTGTGTAATCCAGAACCAAAATTAGGCCATTTTGATAAGCTTTTTCCCAGAATGTAGCTTTTAATACTTAAAATCGGGCATTGACTCTCGCGCCCTTCGCCGTTTGTTGCTACTAGTAGGCTATCACTAATAGCCTATTAGTAGCGTAGCCAATCAGAACGCACAATACATGATAATCTACTAGTAGGTATATACTAAATGTAAATATCCCAATACATGCATGCAAGGTCTTCTGCCAATTGCCAAGTTTGGAAATTTTAATATTATACAACCTTTTTAACATTGTATACAATAGTAGTATTGAAATAATCCTGGGCACAGCCACCGAGTTCTAAGGTACCAAAATATATGTATCTCAATAAATGTATATATGCATGCATATATAGTTTGGCATTGTAAGACATTGGATGAGAATACCCAATAATTTTGTATTCATAATTGTATTGAAGTTGACAACGAGTCCACAGATTATTCCTGAATGTAGACAGGTTGACGTGTGACTAGCCCTTCCGCGTAGAGAGTGGGGAACGGTATTTTCGCGAGCCGTGAATGGTCAATATTTGTTGGCGTGAAATGTGAAATGCTTGATTTTAGTGACGTGAAATGCGATTTGTTCTACAGCCGTGAGGCGTGATTGTTGATAAATATGCTCCGTGCAATGAGAATTAATGACGCCTGTTTCGTGAAAAATCAAATTTATTTCGTTTACGCGATAATTAAATTTATATCATCTCACTCGATGGCACAAGAGTAAAAACTACGGAGACTTTTCGCGAGGTTCCTGACCCTGCGGACGGTCAAGGCTCCTGGCGCTGAGGACAAGGTTCCAGACGCTGCGGACAAGGTTCCTGGCGCTGAGGACAAGGTTCCTGGCACTGAGGACAAGGTTCCTGGCGCTGAGGACAAGGTTTATGGCGCTGAAGGCAAGGTCCTTGGCGGTGAGGACAAGGTTCTTGGCGCTGAGTACAAGGTTCCTGGCGCTGAGAACAAGGTTCCTGGCGCTGAGGACAAGGTTCCTGGCCCTGAAGACAAGGTTCTTGGCGCTGGGGACAAGGTTCTTGGCGCTGCCAACAAGGATCCTGGAGCTGACTACAAAGTTTCTAGCGCTCAGGAAAGGTTCCTGGAGCTGACGACAATGTACCTGGCGCTGAGGACAAGGTTCCTGGCGCTGAGAACAAGGTTCCTAGCGCAGAAGGCAATGTACCTGCCGCTGTGGACAAGGTTCCTGGCGCTAAGGACAATGTTCCTAGCGCTGAGGACAATGTTCCTGGCGTTGAGGACAAGGTTCCCGTCGCTGAGGACAAGGTTTCTGGCGCTGAGAACAAGGTTGCTGGCGCAGAGTACGAGGCTCCTGGCGCTGAGCACAAGGTTCATGGCGCTGAGGACAAGGTTCCTGGCGCTGAGGACAAGGTTCCTGGCGCTGAGGACGAGGTTCCCGGCACTGAGGACAAGTTTCCTGCCGTTGAGGACAAGGTTCCTGGGGCTGAGGAGAAGGCTTCTGGCGCTGAGAACAAGGTTGCTGGCGCTGAGTACAAGGGTCCTGGCGCTGAGGAGAAGGTTCCTGGCGCTGACGACAAGGTTCCTGGCGGTGAGGACAAGTTTTCCGCCGCTGAGGATAAGCTTCCTGCCACTGAGGACAATGTTCCCAGCGCTGAGGACAATGTTTCTGGCGTTGAGGACAAGGTTCCCGTCGCTGAGGCGTAGGTTCCTGCCGCAGAGTACAAGGTTCCTGCCGCTGAGCATACGGTTCCTGGCGATGAGGACAAGGTTTCTGGTGATGAGGACAAGGTTCCTGTCGCTGAGGACAAGGTTCCTGGGACTGAGGAGAAGGCTTCTGGCACTAAGAACAAGGTTCCTGCTGCAGAGGACAAGGTTCCTGCTGCAGAGGACAAGGTTCCTGGCGCTGACGAAAAGGGTCCTGGCGCTGAGGAAAAGGGTTCTGACGCTGAGGACAAGGTTCCAGTGACTGAGAACAAGGTTCCTGGAGCTAAGGACAATCTTCCTGGCGCTGACGTCAAGGCTCCAGGCGCTGAGGACAAGGATCCTGGCGCTGAACTCAAGGTTCCCGGCGCTGAGGACAAGGTTCCTGTCCCTGAGGATAAGGTTTCTGCCGCTGAGGAGAAGGTTCCAGAGGATGAGGACAAGGTTCCTGGCGCCGAGGACAAGGTTCCTGTCGCTGAGGAAAAGGTTCCTCGCGCTGAGGACAAGGTTCCTGGCGCTGAGGAAAAGGTTTATGGCGCAGAGAACAAGGTTCTCGGCGCTGCGGACAAGGTTCCTGGCGCTGAGTACAAGGTTCCTGGCGCTGAGGACAAGGTACCTGTCGCTGAGGACAAGGTTTCTGGCGCTGAGGACAAGGTCCCTGGCGCTGAGGACAAGGTTCATGGCGAAGAGGACAAGGTTCTTGGCGCTAAGGACAAGGTTCCTCCCGCTGAGTAAAGGATCCTGGCGCTGAGGACAAGGTTCCTGGCGCTGAGGACAAGGTTCCTGCTGCAGAAGACAAGGTTCCTGGCGCTGAGGAAAAGGATCCTGGCGCTGAGGAAAAGGGTTCTGACGCTGAGGACAAGGTTCCAGTCGCTGAGAACAAGGTTACTGGCGCTGAGGACAAGGTTCCTGGCGCTGAAGTCAACTCTCCAGGCGGTGAGGACAAGGTTCCTGTCGCTGAGGACTAGGTTCCTCCCGCTGAGTACGAGGTTCCTGCTCCCGCAGAGGACAAGGGTCATGGCGCTGAGGACAAGGGTCCAGCGCTGAGGAAAAGGCTCCTGGCGCTCAGAACAAGGCTCCTGACGTTGAAGACAAGGTTCCTGGCGCTGAGGACAAGGTTCCTGGCGCTGAGGACAAGGTTCCTGTCGCTGAGGACGAGGTTCCTGGCACTGAGGACAAGTTTGCCGTGGCAGAGGAAAAGGTTCCTGGCGCTGAGGACAAGGTTCCTGGCGCTGAAGTCAACTCTCCAGGCGGTGAGGACAAGGTTCCTGTCGCTGAGGACTAGGTTCCTCCCGCTGAGTACGAGGTTCCTGCTCCCGCAGAGGACAAGGGTCATGGCGCTGAGGACAAGGGTCCAGCGCTGAGGAAAAGGCTCCTGGCGCTCAGAACAAGGCTCCTGACGTTGAAGACAAGGTTCCTGGCGCTGAGGACAAGGTTCCTGGCGCTGAGGACAAGGTTCCTGTCGCTGAGGACGAGGTTCCTGGCACTGAGGACAAGTTTCCCGTGGCAGAGGAAAAGGTTCCTGGGGCGGAGGACAAATCTTCTGGCACTGAAAACAAGGTTCCTGCTGCTGAGGACAAGGTTCCTGGCGCTGAGGAGAAGGCTCCTGTCACTGTGGACAAGGCCCCTGTAGTTGAGGACAAGGCTCCTGGCGCTGAAGAAAAGCCTCCTGGCGCTGAGGAAAAGGATTTTGGCACTGAGAACAAGGTTCCTGCAGCTGAGGACAAGGTTCCTGCCGCTATGGAAAAAGGTCTTGGCGCTGAGGACAAGGGTCCTAGCGCTGAGGACAAGGTTCCTGGAGCTGAGGACAAGGTTCCTGGTGCTGAAAAAAAGGTTCCAGTCGCTGAGGACAAGGTTCCTGGAGCTGAAGTCAAGGCTCCAGGCACAGAGGACAAGGTTCCTGGCGCTGAAGTCAAGGTTCCTGGCGCTGAGGACAATGTTCCTGTCGCTGAGGACTAGGTTCCTGGCGCTGAGGACTAGGTTCCTGTCGCAGAGGACTAGGCTCCTCCCGCTGAGTACAAGGTTTCTGTCGCTGAGGACAAGGTTCCTGTCGCCGAGGACAAGGTTTCTGGCGCTGAGGACAAGGTTACTGGTGCTGATGACAAGATTCCTGTCACTGAGGACAAGGCTCCTGTAGCTGAGGACAAGGCTCCTGGCGCTGAAGAAAAGGCTCCTGGCGCTGAGGAAAAGGCTTTTGCCAGTGAGAAAATGGTTCCTGCCGCTGAGGACAAGGTTCCTCTCGCTGGGGAAAAAGGTTCCTGGAGCTGAGAACAAGGTTCCAGTCGCTGAGGACAAGGTTCCTGGCGCTGAGGTCAAGGCTCCTGCTGCTGAGAACAAGGTTTTTGGCGCGGAAGTCAAGGTTCCTGGCGCTGAGGACAAGGTTCCTGTCGCTGAGGACTAGGTTCCTGGCGCTGAGGACAAGGTTCCTGTCGCTGAGGACTAGGCTCCTGCCGCTGAGGAAAAAGGTCCTGGCACTGAGGACAAGTGTCCTGGCGCTGCGGACAAGGTTCCTGGAGCTGAGAACAAGGTTCCAGTCGCTGAGGACAAGGTTCCTGGCGCTGAAGTCAAGGCTCCAGGCGCTGAGAACAAGGCTTTTGGCGCTGAAGTCAAGGTTCCTGGTGCTGAGGACAAGGTTCCTGTCGGTGAGGACTAGGTTCCTGGCGCTGAGCACAAGGTTCCTGTCGCTGAGGACTAGGCTCCTGCCGCTGAGTACGAGGTTCCTGTCGCTGAGGACAAGGTTCCTGTCGCTGAGGACAAGGTTCCTGTCGCTGAGGATAAGGCTCCTGGAATTGTGGACAACGCTCCTGTAGCTGAGGCCAAGGCTCCTGGCGCTGAAGAAAAGGATCCTGGCGCTGAGGAAAAGGGTTGTGACGCTGAGGACAAGGTTCCAGTCGCTGAGAACAAGGTTACTGGCGCTGAGGACAAGGTTCCTGGCGCTGAAGTCAACTCTCCAGGCGGTGAGGACAAGGTTCCTGTCGCTGAGGACTAGGTTCCTGCCGCTGAGTACGAGGTTCCTGCTCCCGCAGAGGACAAGGGTCATGGCGCTGAGGACAAGGGTCCAGCGCTGAGGAAAAGGCTCCTGGCGCTCAGAACAAGGCTCCTGACGTTGAAGACAAGGTTCCTGGCGCTGAGGACAAGGTTCCTGGCGCTGAGGACAAGGTTCCTGTCGCTGAGGACGAGGTTCCTGGCACTGAGGACAAGTTTGCCGTGGCAGAGGAAAAGGTTCCTGGCGCTGAGGACAAGGTTCCTGGCGCTGAAGTCAACTCTCCAGGCGGTGAGGACAAGGTTCCTGTCGCTGAGGACTAGGTTCCTCCCGCTGAGTACGAGGTTCCTGCTCCCGCAGAGGACAAGGGTCATGGCGCTGAGGACAAGGGTCCAGCGCTGAGGAAAAGGCTCCTGGCGCTCAGAACAAGGCTCCTGACGTTGAAGACAAGGTTCCTGGCGCTGAGGACAAGGTTCCTGGCGCTGAGGACAAGGTTCCTGTCGCTGAGGACGAGGTTCCTGGCACTGAGGACAAGTTTGCCGTGGCAGAGGAAAAGGTTCCTGGCGCTGAGGACAAGGTTCCTGGCGCTGAAGTCAACTCTCCAGGCGGTGAGGACAAGGTTCCTGTCGCTGAGGACTAGGTTCCTCCCGCTGAGTACGAGGTTCCTGCTCCCGCAGAGGACAAGGGTCATGGCGCTG